TGTCGAAACCTCAAAGAATTCAGTGCAAAATGTTGTGTGATATCAACGAACTAAACCTTGCTCATTGGTTCGGAAGAATACCTCACTGGCCAGCAACTTCAATGGACCACAATAAACACCACTACTCGCTTCTCGGAATCGTTTCAACGCCTCATACGTTTTACCACTATTCGTTGGACCTATTAATCAGAGAGCAGAGATTGAAATTTAAAATCTCATTTGACATTTGCAGCAAATATTTCCATTTCCAGAACGAATGATATAATCTAGTTGATTCAACTAAGATTATCTTCAATTCTCGCATTCGTCAAAACATCTTCATTGCAATTTTCATATCGCTCTCACTATAAACCCAATAAATACACAGCACATATACCTCAAACTTAAGGCACCAGCAATTAAATGAACCATCAGAATAGCATCAGACTAAAAGAAACAATCGAACCGGTGCACACCTGCATGGAATATAATCTTTCGATGAATCGTTCTCGCCTCGGGATACCAATTGTGTGGCTGTGTCAAATCAGAAATCATTCGCAAATCCTCAATACTCTCCAAATGTGGATAAACTTTCCGTGCATGACTCAGGAAATACACAAATAAACTGTCAACATCTTGNTCCTCAATACTCTCCAAATGTGGATAAACTTTCCGTGCATGACTCAGGAAATACACAAATAAACTGTCAACATCTTGGCCTGAAAGACGTCATAAAAGACATTTTTTCATTCATTGACAATTTCAGATTCATAGAACAAAATTCTAGATTGGGTCATCCGAATGAACAATCTCAAAAACTCATAAAGCAATATTTCAAAGGAAAAATATTTTAACTGCCTTATCAAACGAACAAATCGAGAATGGGAAGAAATATTATCAGATAATAAATGTAAACCTTGATTAACAATATCACTTAAAGTGACCGCAATCGCAGGGTCAAGTGGTTTCGCTGTTAGACAGTACGTTCGAAAACTCCTAAACTTCAGATAGCTTCAGAAACACAAAAAGTGCAAGAAACATACACATAAACCTGATAGATGAATCATTAAAATAGATTTATGGATGACTGACAAACAACTCAAAATAATGAAATAGCATCAGAAGTATCAGAAATCTGACCTGAATGCAGTCATAAAAAGTTTTGCATTCATTCCGTTCTCCTCAGAGAGTTGTCTTATCATTGGTCTCCGACTAAATTCATTGAGTACCATTGAAATACTTATCGTATCAACCGGATCCACAATACCACCCTTAACATTAGAGCGGATCAGAGGATTGTATGAAACAGAATACGTTAAATGAAGTTTATGTTCATGAATATCACCTTATTCGAATGCTTTTTTTCAGTTATGTCAATAGCAATCCATATGAATTCAAATAACTTGCGTAATCTCTTAAACGGGATAAATGNTTTTCAGTTATGTCAATAGCAATCCATATGAATTCAAATAACTTGCGTAATCTCTTAAACGGGATAAATGAGATAATTCAACAGAAATTTTAAGGAAAGCGTTTATTTATGATATTTGGTGAAAGGTAAAGGTGACAGCACACTTTGAAAAAAACCAGAAGATATAGTGACAAGCATTGAATCAATTGAAATTCTCAAATCGCCTACAAGTCCGTCATCAGCATCATCATGCTTTGGAATTGGTACGTTCACTGGTTTGACTAGATCCTCGATATTGGGCGATTTTCGTTGATGAGCAGAAGAACTTGCGGCTGACTGACGACCATAGCGTGTTATTCTCTACAATCGACCAAACATTTCAATTCTCATTTCCTCCGTTCCGCAGTAGTTTTGTTCAGTTAATGCTATTGAATTCCGTCTTATAAATGTAACTTTCGATAATTTAATAAAGTTACAATTGATATAGTTTCGTCAATACTAAGAATATAAAGCCTGATTGATTATCTGAATTGAAAGATTCAATTGCTTTGAGGATTTGTACAATTGGGAAATGCTTTCATGAAGTTTTCTTCAGAGAGTTGTGTGGCCCAAAGAAAAAGCTGAAAACAATGAAACAATAGAGAACAATAGGCGAGCGCACATTTCCAGTTGATCGAGTGGCATTCACATTGTTTCTATGAAGGAATCGCAAACTTTCGAACGATAACGGATTGGTGTTCCAACTCAAAAGAAGTGAATCCGATGCGGATGAAGAGAGTCGAACGGCAGCACTGACGAATCCCGATGTAGTGGCCGTCAACGGACACACTCTTGACAACTTCTGGTGACACCTAATCATACACTTCAATACCATCTCGAGACAAGCTCAGTGTTCTGATTTGCGATCTAAAACTTTGATCGCTTATTCATCGCAGAAACAAACCTCAAACCAAGATCTACCTTTCGATTGCACTAAAATGGTTGAGCTAATTTCTCTTAACGAACACATTGTGTGCGACTGAATATCCAACAACAAGCAAAGTCTTATATGGAATCCTTAGGATTCATCAAAAGCTTCTTGACAAATCCCTATCAACCAATATAGCTTTATTAATGAGGAATTTTGAGCAGGATGTGTCAACTTCTCTATTGTTACTATGAAAGAGTTTATGAGATGATGTTATCTTCATTATCTTCGACGCCTACTGTTTTCTCTATTATCGGTAACAGATCCTTTGCA